GGAAAAGCGCATTCGATAGCCCTTTTACAGACCTTTCTGAGTATTGTTGTCAGGTTTGACCTCAGGTCAATGGTTTAGCCTCCAGAGAGCAAGCAAAAACTCAAAAAATAGCCGATTTTACGGAAAGTGTTTTTCCGGCAATAACTTTTGACTCGGCTTATTTTTGCCAGCATCGTGTTTTTTCGCGATAGCTCAGAACACGCTGGCGATAAAGAGCGGAAACTTGGCATAACTAACCTTTGATTCAAGCCAGATCTTTTGAAACCAACCGCATTTTCGGGTCAAGTCAGGTCACTGACCTTTGACGTCATAAGTGAACCTCTGCACGGTCTTCAGATGTCGCAACTTCGCAACGCCTTCACTGCCAGAGCAGCTTTCACAGGGAAATGAAACTTGCAGGATCTAATATCCATTACTAGTCTCACAACTTGCATATCTCGGATTTTTCCTAAAGGTCATATGAGGTCAGGTCATTTTCGTGACCTCACCTAAGTCAATGGTGAAAAATGAAAACTGCTATTCTGGCGCCAGGAACGATATCCAACAATCTCAAGCACACAGAATCGTGATTCGGTGCACTCCTTGCAAGGTAAGATGCGTCACTTTTGCAATGTTGACCTTGCGTGACGTCATTTATGACGTCATTAGGGCCATATTAGTTTTTCGTTAATAACCCCCGATCAAATTGAGCTAGCGAGTCGGGAAAGCCACCACTGGACTCAGGAAGACCTTCCGAATCGAATGATATGCGACATGACCTACTTCGACCGATTTTGTGATCTGGGGGTGCTGACCTGACCGTGACCTGAGGTCAACACCCGAAGTTGACCTCACCCAAATAAAAAGTATATCATTCGACGCGCCTGAGCGAGGCGAACACGATGCTGCCAAAATCGCGGCTCTGCGACTGTTTTTGCGAAGTTATTCACCAAAAACCGAACCGTACCTTGGGATACTTGACCTGATCTCAGAGGTCACCAGTTGACCTAGGACCTTAAAATCGGGTATCAACTTCTGCGTCTCGTAACGGCGCTCACGCTCGTTTTTCCGCGACGCGCTAGCTCCACCAGGGGCGAAACAGCGAGGGGGGTCGTTGGGAGAGCAGTGGGGCAATCAGCAAAAATACTTGAAAAAAAATCAGCAAAGAGTGATAACAACATCTGCAATAGAGTTGATTAGCCGAGGTCGGGCTGCAGACGAATTCAAAGTGGATAAAATAAAAAAAAAACATAAACCCTTAGACGGATATGTTCATCGTTCACCATGAAAAAGTGAAGTGGATGATTCATAAACACTCACCTATGCGTCGAAGACATGCGGTAGAGATATTTCCATGACTCCGAGACGAGTGGAACATATGCAGGATTCTTCAGGGCTTCGAGTGGAAGATAAGGATTTTTTTCAAACGTGTTTCAGAAAAAAAAACTTTGCTCTTTAGGCTTTTTCTTAGAAGCCCGCCAAGAAAAAAGTTTCCATTTGAAGCCATGAAGAGCCCTTTGTATCTTCATCAGCAATCGTAACGTAAAACCTATTTGGTCGTATCAAATCGTTCAGAGAACAATTTGTTTTGATACTGAATGATTTGGTACGATCGAATAGATTGCATGATACGATTTGATAACAGCACGTTTAACCCAAATGAACCTAGTTAATCCATGGTGCGACTGCTAAACTCAGTTGGTATTGTACCTCCAATCAGCTGCAAAAGGGTCGCCCGAGCCTTAGCTGCATGGCAATGGCCTGTGCCGACCAGCGTGGCCGACGAGACAGTTTGATCAAAATCAAAAGTCCAGCAGTTCATGGCTGGTCCACAATGACCCAATGAAACACAGAGGGTCCACACTGACCTTTCGGGGACCTTGACGGCGCTTGCCGCCGCCAAGGTGACCAGTAGAATGGCAACGAGCCGATCCATGTCCGCTTCCAGTGCCCCGTGCAGAGCAACTGCGGGACGCCGCCTGGCAAACGGTACATAAGTAGCCCTAACGTTTACCCCCGGCCGCCGATGCTGCCAGATCATATGGCAGCACGCTGACCCGCCGGGGATAGCAGCCGTTTTTACGACGGGCTTTCCGGCGAGTGCACCGGATTTGACCAAATCTGCACCTAATCTCTTTTACAGCAAATATCTTTATTTTATGAATTCATTTCAGTGTTTTAATCGATCGATGATGATCTATGATAATATGACAAAGCAGGCATATAAGCAGTTAGTGCAATTCTAGCTGTTAGCTACAAAGAGACGCACTGAACCTGATTTGACCAAATCTGCACCTGATCTGCACCAGATGTGCACCAAATGTGTACCAGATGGCCGTCGTGAAAACGGCTATTATTTATTTTTCATCCCTCCACAACAGACCATGACGCCAGTAGCGGCGGAAGGAACACCTTCAATTAAGGGGGGGGGGGCAGCACAGTCGACTTTTGGTCCCATTCTCTTCATGCAACGCCCATAGGGCTAATATCAAAATGGCAAAATTAAGGGGGCACGGTGCCCCCCCCCCGTTCCGCCACCCATGAATACCATTTATAGGACAGATCATGATCCTCTTCAGTCCTCTATTAGATCCTTACCCCTGAGCCACAGCAGAAGAAGGCTCACCTCAGTCCTGTTAGAGTTGGACATTGGACATGTTACGCATGTATTAACGGGAGACAAAGTGAGCTGTTCCAGCGCCCTAATATTGCTTGTATACTGGCTTAGTCGTTAAAAGGATGTAAAAACGTCAGAAAGTTTTATTGTTTGTCTTGTTTCGAGCTTTTATGTGATACCATTTTTACACCATTGTCGAATATACCAGCTCTCTGGGAGAGCCCTTAACCCTATTAGTGGCAGGGGGGGGGGGGGGGGTTGTTTTCATCCACCCCTCAGGTTTTTCGGGAATATCTCCGAAACCGCTAAAGCTACGATGCTGAAATTTTCTGACTTTTCCTTAAACTAAATTGGGCACATTCCCTGAAAATTTCAAGTTCATAACTTTACCAGGGGCGGCTCCAGAGCACTGAGAATTGGGGGGTCCTATTCGTGAAGCGAGTCATTTGGGCGAAGATCACGATGCTGATGTATTATAACTGTATGCACCAGTTTTACGAACAGTGAATGAAAGGTATCGTGTGATAACATATACAAAGTTATTGTGCATCCTCTTTTGACACGTTTTTGCTATAATAGGCGGATCCAGGCGTCCAAAAAGGGGGACTATCTTTTACCTCCCAACATAGGTGCCCTGACACCGCCTATGCATGACCAATACAATTGTAGTCGTTCTCTCATAAGAAAATTGTAACATAACAAGACCATTACCACCCTTTTTAGAAACGGTACCAACAAAAACCTTATTTACTATACTTTTTGTGTACCCCCAAGCTCAATGCTCTGTATCCGCCTATGATTTTTGAAAATGCATATTTTTAGGATCCATGTGAATTCCTGGTTCATTCTCTATCGATCGGCAAAAGTTGCGTTAAGATTGGTTCAGAAACCTGGCCGTGATAAACAGTCTAAAATGTATCTGCAATTTGCCCGTCTTTACCCCCCTCTACCCCCTATTGACATTTTTTAATTTTTATTTTTTAGAAATGTAGATCACGTTGAGCGAAACCGAATGCCGTTTGAATTTTGAAAATCGGCCCGTTAGATCTCGAGATATCAAGGGGGGTCGTAAACAGCCCCCCTGCCACTAATAGGGGTAGCAAGGAGCCTGCCACTAATAGGGTTAAGTCGGGTCCTCTTTCACTGGATCGCACCACAGCCATTCGAGCCTTTGTACCAGTGACGTCACGATGATCCTTGCTTTAGCCTAATGAGCATACCTCCTAGTTAGGGCCTTAGCCCACAGGGCTTACGTTTTAAATGTCTGTTTTCCGCCAGCTGTATCCTGTTCACTATTAGGAGAAACTCACAGCCAGAGGGCTCATAACAGCTCATATCTTTCACTCCGTAACGTAGTTGCGACGTGATAATGTTTATAATAGTTGATAGTTGATAGTACAATAGCTGATGTTTAGAATAGTTGACGAACTATAGTTGAAAACGCTTTACGATTGCTCTGGTTTCGGTGAGTTGCTATGCTACATATAGGGGTATATTTGTTTCAAATACCTCAATACATACCAATAAGTTCATCGGAACCTCAGTACTGATTTTATCACTTAAGTGCTGGAATAAAGTCTTGTTGCTGCCAGATTGCCTAGTCGGATATTTAGGGACTACTAAATAGGCATGTAGTGCTAATGCATGTGTGCACGACGCACGTGCAAGGGTCGCCTCCAGATACTATGGCTGGAACAATTGCGTTCAAATTTGGTACACCGTTATTAGGAACCAGAGAGTAGCGTGCCGGACAGAAGTCGGTTAAAACCCAAATTTGCACGAGCGCACGTGCATTTGTCACTTCTATATATGTACATCTCTAGACTAGCTGGGCCATTGTGCTCAAATTTGGTACATCCTTAGCGATCAGTGAGCGGAATGCCGATAAAAACTAAATTTGAACCCAGTTTGCACGTACGCTAATGAAAGAGTACACCTCCATATCCGAGAATGACTGGGCCAGATACGTTCAAATCTGGCACACCCCAAGATAGCCGTAAGTAGGGTGCCGCACACAAGTCAGTCAGTTGGAGGATACAGCCCATCGCTAAAGTAATGTGTGGTTTTACCAACCCCAAAGGATGGCTTTAACCGACGATTTTTAAATGCGGACTGATTGAAAAGAAGACGTCAATAGATAAAGTTGTAGCTGCAAGGGTGAAGATACATGTAAGCTACATTTAGTCTCGTTGCAGTCTGGCTAATCGTTCCTAGGCTTCAGAAACAGAACATACCCATGACTGAAACCACACAGTACTTCTGCTGTGGACTGTACCCACTCACACTAGCACCCTTGCATGGGTCACACTCGCGCTCGCCTTTATCGCCCCAAAAGGCGTCTTGCTGTTCTTACAAACTTCCTGACTTGGCAAAGGTATCATCAACATCACTTCCAAAAACGTCATATACCACGGTAAGTTTATTTTTGAAACCAGCATGTAAGGTCACAAGTAGCTATTGATTTACCCTTTTCAAAGCCACTGACGATGACCGTACATTATTCCCAATCCCGTGCTGAGAACATTCTGAACAGTGTCACTCGACTTAGTCTTGCACAAACGACGCACCATAAGCATGGACTATGGCGTACAAACAGAACTGATTCGCTGCCTAAATATACGTTCGAAGCATTTTAATATCAAGCAGCGTCACTAGACGGCGGTGCGTGCCCCCTTTTCAGCCAACCACCAATGGATACATACACAGAAACTCGATCTAGCAAGCTATTCGAAAATCAAGCCCCTATGGTCATACGAGAAATGCCAATGCTTTCGCAGCTATGATTTGACGTCCGCTACCGCGGTCCGCGCCGCCTTACGGCACAGGCCGTAAGCATACAGTACGGGCCGTATGTTCCGCTTGGGCCGTCAGAGCTGTGCTACGGGCCGTAGACGACGTGCAGAGATCGATGTGAGTTTTCTAAGCAGCGGGAGTCAGCTCGTACTCCTGAAAACATGGGAGACATGTCAACTCTGAGTTTTGGGCAAGTAAAGGTAACACTGACACTGGTATGATAGCACAGATGTATGATTTATTACATTTGTTGTGATACCTACTGTTAATGTGTTAACATACTCATGTTTGCTTTGTAGCATTTAACCTCATATAAAATCGTCAATTCTTTTACGCATATCTTTTGACGTGTTTCTAGAGAGGGTACTTTATAACACAATGTAGGTTAGATATATAAAAAACTATTTCATCTCATATTATCATCGTATCTACAGCTATATCTACAGCTTACACCAACTAAACAGGCTACCAGGGTCACGCTACCCAATCTGGTAGAAAAGCTCTGTAACTCCCAGCGTGCTCACCTGAATGTTCCTCTCCTCGGGACGGTAGAAGTCGTGCACCTTCACAATGGACGGTTTCAGTTGCTCAACTTCGTTCTCCTGAATAATGCGGAACTCCAGACAGGTCTTATCTTCGGCCACTCCTTGCAGTGTGAAGATCACTTTACCTTCCTTGATCTCATAGCTGCGAACAGCTGTAAAAGACAGGCAACAGGAAATTCAAAAGGTTTCGTAATAATGCCAACCCACTGATCGTTTCGATTCAGTACAATTACATTACAATTACATGATATACATCCCACAAATTTTTAGATGTTTATTTTACCAAACGAAGACACCTAAAACTATAAGGAAAGCAATATAGACACAAGCCAATGAAATTCAGAAACTTCAACAGATATGTGTAACCTATGTCGGCATGTCCTGTTCTGACATCGCTTGAAATGCATTCCGACTTTTTCGTACTGTCTCCTACAGAGTGACCATTTCTTGAACCCCCGTGTCTATTAAGTGTCCTATGAAAGCCCACCTGAGCCTCTGCGCAGGTCCCTCAGGGTGCTGTCCACAGCAACATAGCCGGAGGGCAGTTCCGTTTCCAGAATGGCGCGGTCCACGGCGCCAGAGTTTCGGAGGAAGCTGGTGCATACTTCCAGCTCGTAGCCAGTACGGCCTCGCTTCTTGGCAGCCACACCGAGAGAGAAGGCAGGGTCGGGCACCTGGGAAACCATGAGAGTGGTGTCGTGAAACAGTACATCAGCGCCATACCATCATCAACATCATCATCATCATCATCACCAAGTTTATTAAACAAAAAATACGGGCTGAACTTGTACAAAATATAAGACAGACGCAAAAGCAAAAGCTTAACTCAAAGCGCCTAGTCTGAATGTCATACATAAACAAATGTAAACACGGCTGCGGCCGCCGCCACGGCACAGCTCATCAGCAGTTGAAGTCGCCGCTTGCCCGCCGTTCCTCAACGGCGGGCAAGCATCAACAAACACAGGCAGTGGTACCAGCAGGAATGGCTCTGAGAGAAGAACAAACTCTGTACCTCGAGAGTGCTGCTGAACCGGAAAATACTCTGGTAGACCACGCAGCCAGGCGGACTGACATCGAAGTTCATGGTGCCAGGCAGCTGGAACACAAAGGCACACACGACTTAGCAGCCGGTCGAACACACAGGTCGGTCACATTTTTAGAAGAAGAAGAAGGTCACACTTTTGACTGACTTTGCGACGTTAAGACAGTCAAACAACGTTTGAGAGAAGCCGAAAAATGATCGAATTTCCCTAAGCAATACCTAGTTTCCCTTTCGCAAAGAGTCGAATTTCATATCTTTTGAAATGCCAAGTTGATCCTTATCCTATATCAGACAATTTATAACGGGGCTGCCTCACGGAAAATTCTGGAATGGTGGAGAGGCAAATAACCTGAGATACGCGCCATTATCATGGCGCGTCTTGTATTCCCTTCAAGATATTGTGAGAGTAGACATGACACCTTGGACTGCTGCAACAGCAGTCAGTTCCGTCCGCGCAGTTTGCACTCACCGTCAGGTCTGGCACCTTGGACTCCTGATACAGCAGTCTGTTGTCTCCATCCACCATCCGCTGAACAGTCTCTCCTCCAGCAGTTACAGACACACTCGTGGCCAGATCAGAGGCGAACGTGCGAGACGCGAACTCTGACAGGGCTTCCACAGCAACAATGGTGTCCTGCAAGCGCAGAAAGAGGCGGGACGTGAACGATGGCACTGGCAGGTAGGCCAGGATTGTAAAGCAGTGGGAGAATGCAATTTTTTCTAGGGCGCATTCTCCCGCTGCCTGAGGCATGCCGTCAGAGGTGGCAGCTCAGCAGGAAAATGTCAACATTGGTAGTTTCATGTCGGAATCCCTGCGATCCAGTCAGATATACAGGTCCTCGTGTTTGAGGAAAAGATCCTGACATCTCAAGTCGTGATATAACCAGATAACATACTCAAAGAAAGTTATGCATTCGAAGACGTTCCATTTCACCGAGTTTTATTTGGCATTTGCAGTTGGATCATTTTACATTTGCGAAGTACTACTCGAAAGAAATAATCCACAAACACCTGAAAATGGCACCAAATGTGAATAATGCACATATCCTGAGCCTGAGCCATCACTAACCTGAGTGGATTTGAAACCCCCGTTGCTGTTCCTCTGGGTGTTGATCCAGCGAATGGCGCGCGCTGCCTCCTCCATATTACCCTTTCCGGAGATGTGCATCAGCGAGAGAGCCATGTAGGCAGTCATCTCGACGTCCACGGCTCGGCTTCCACCAACTACAGACGTAAAACGGTGTCAGTGTTGACTGTTGGTTGAGCATCAGTCTCGAGGTCGGGTAGCGCGAAACACAAAGCCAAAGACAAACGATGGGTGTGTCTGCTTATCGTGGAAACCAAAAAGGACGTAAGAAACTGACTTTGCTAAAGAAATGACTTTGCTGGACTAGATTAGCTAAGTTTACGTAGTTATTTGGCATGAACGTGTACAAACGCGTGGCGCTTCCACAGTTTCACATGGTGCTGTTGTGTATGCTCGATAAGCAAGTTGTAGCTGATTCTCAACACCGTTCGTAGCATTCATCACTGCGTGTCATTATACTTTCCACATAATGAGACAAACGGCCGAAATGCTTCAGAAGCAACCAGACAGGACTCTCGCCATCCATGATTTTACTGATTCCAGATTAACTCACAGAGAGAATCGCGGTCGCCCTCCCAGTAGAGGATGTCATCTCCTTCGCGTTTGGCCTTCGACATCAGCTTGTTCACCAGCCTCTCTCCCTTGACATCTTGGCCCATATTCAGGTATGTGTAAGCCAAAAGAATCTGAAAAAGCAGCGGAGATATTGCGTAAGGGTTCCTTTGGATTATCATGCTGGAAAGATATATCGAGTTATGAGAAAAAGAAATAAACAAAAGGTGTTTGTGTTTCAATCACATGTAGTCCCTAAATTTAAGGCTTCGCTCCCCAAGCGTCGCCGTAATGCAACCATTTTCAACAGTTCTCTATTTATCTGTATGATAATGCCCACTATAAGAATCAATAAAATCTTTGTGCCACTTTATTCAATTGGATCCCACAAAGTGCGCTGCTCGCTGACGGCGTTGAACACTCACCTCCGAGTACAGGGTCTTGTTGGGGAGCAGAAGGCCGTCCTCTAGGCAGGCGAAGCCGTTGGCCAGCTCAGTAGTGGTTGCGATGTCCTTCAGAGCCAGCATGACGAAGGCCGTGAGGGCCGCTTCACCACCTCGCTCGGTGCCACCCTAAGTGCGACAACTTGATGATCAACTCTGACACATTCAAAGGAACATTCTTATTACAACTTTCGAACTTAAATTTCATAGACATGATGTAAGAAAGTGAAAATCAATTTCCAAGCAAAACGTAATGATGAACTCAAACGGTAACTAAGAAGAGAAAAGAACTTTACCTTCAGCTCCTTGTGAATAAGCTCGCCGAACCTCGGGAAACAGCCAGTAGTGTTCTGTTTCTTCAGAATCCAGTCCTTAGCCTTGTTAATAATAGTCTCATCTAGAAACAAGATAGAAAAATAGTGTTTGAAAAAAAAAATTGATTCTACTGCAAATATCTAATAATGAATTTTAACACTAGTTAGCTGGTCCAACAAGCTTTGTTACCGCAACATAACAGTTCGACGCTACCGCAAGGTACTACCTTACCTTGATCTTATTTCAGTCTTAGTAAGCATCCATTACGAAAAAAGTGCCATCCCAAATCATTGCGTGCAAGCACCGCAAACTTCATGACATTTTCTTGCACACATTTCAAGAACTGACCGATTTCGATGTACTCGGACGCCTCTCGGAAGGCCTTGACAACAAAGGCGGTGAGCCACATGGAGCCCTGAGGGTCCTCATTTCCGTACGACGAGAACGAGCCATCGTACCGCCTGAAGCGCAACTGGCGCTGGTAGCCTGTAACAGAGGAGTGATGGGACTGTAAATGGACCGCTAAACCAGCAATGACCATCGCAGCATTGCGGGCACTCGCTAACAACAATACGGACCTGTCGGTGCGACGAATTAGATCACGTCGCTCCAAAATTTCCCGAACAGGCTTTCATTATCCGACTCACTGCAGTTATTATTATTATTATCCGACTCACATTTATTAAAGCATGGATCGTCCTAGCCGATTCAAGAGTTTAATCCTTCTTCCAACACGTCATTAGGAGAGTATCCCATCCAGTGCCTTTACTTCTTTAAACCCTCGCCCGCACATGGGGGGGTGGGGTGGTTGCCACCCCCCCCCCCCAGGTACTCTTTCTGTTCTGCACTCAACATTTTTAAAGCTAGAAGGCTGATTTTTCGTATAGCTGCTCCTCTATCCTTTCTTGATGTCCACTGAAAATTTCAAGTTTCTGTGATTTTTGGTTTCGGAGATATGACCTTGTTTTTCAGGTCATGTCATGACCCGAATGGCCAATTCTCAACATCTTGGGCTTGCCATGGGCCTTGTGAGCTTTTGACACCCTTATTTCAGATTTTTTGCCAGTCTTACCTCCCACCTATCATGGAACATGTTGTTCGACGATGTACAGGGGTCAAGGTCAGGGTCAAGGTCAACCTAGGTCATCTAAGATAATTGCGTTTTAGGCAAGCTGAATTTACTTTTTTGTGAAGTTTTTTGACTGCATTTTTGGTAAAAGCTTCTCAGATCATGATTTCATGTAATATGGACCCAAAAACAATCGGTGCACACATCAGTATACACACAGACACACACAGACATACAAACACATATAATTGACCTTGACCTAACTTGACCTGAAATGACCTCAGCAGCAAAATTCTGGTCGGGTAGTGTGACAAAGAGGTTCTAGTTGGCTTGGCACCAGAAATCAGCATCGTCATCGGTATTTGATAAGCAGCGCACTTGATATCCAACGGTGACCCAAAACAGCAACATTTTTTAGTTTGACCTGACCTGGAAGGTCAATGACTGACCTGAGAAGGTAAAACTGGGTATCATTGGATTTGTCTCTTCCCAAAGAATCTTTTTGGTCTTTACTGCTAAGCTCTATCTCCAACAGGAACGAAATGGCGCGGGGGGTGGCAACCTCCCCCCCCCCCATGTGCGTTCTAGGATGGGAAAATGGCATGTGCGGGCGAGGGTTTAAGATTCCTTTAACGTGCTCACTCCTCCCCCATCTCCCGAACCCGGTGTCCTCACATCCTCCAATTAAGACCTCCTTCCTCGCTCTTATGTCCCTTCACTTCACAGATATAAGATCTCATCTTCCTTTCTCACCGCTCTTCATGTTGTGCTCTAGCTGTCGTCTCTGACGCTCGTTGAGCTGACCAGTTGTCTCCAGGTAGCGACGGATGTAGATATTGGGCACCAGAGTGATCATGTTGGGCTCACCGGCGCCGGTAGGCGACTTAATGAGACCTCCCTCCAGACCCTGGGGGTAGTTAAAGACAGAGGTTAATGCAACAGTCCGAGGAAGAGGTATACGATGACGCAGCTTCATGGAATGCTATGGTACGGAGGGTGATCATTTGGGTCCCTGCGTTCCTATTTCTTTGAAAGAAATGGCGATGAAGTTACTTTGTTGGAGTGATTTGTCATGCAAATAAACTGCGCCGATTGACAATTCTCACGGACAGGTTCAGAAAATGCAAAAAGGTGGAAGGAAAAACCTATGTCCGTGAGGCAAAAGGACAGCGGCTGCAGGAAATTGAACTTAGTCAAAGTGAAAGGACCCTGGTAATCCTAGACATCCATGATGGTAATCCCCACACTCCACAGCCTTGTTTACGAACTACCACAGCCCTGTTAACGGATTACTACAACATTGTAAACAACTTAACTACCCAGCCAACATAGCTCGTGTACCTCGTGTGCCGCCCTACCTGGAAGGTCTGTCCCAAAAGATCTCCGATGACGGAGAAGTAGGCGCGCTGAGAGTCGGGCACCAGGCCTTCCGGCACCGGCAGGTTCACCGTCTCCGTGTGGTGGTCGTCATCTGCGTACAAAAACATGACTGAATCAGCAAGTGGCAACAGAGAGAGAGAGAGTGCGAGATTATGTGGGAGCTGTATGTATATGGTAAGCGGCAATGGACTTGATTCCGTGTTTAGTGCGTAAAGTGCATGTTGACGACTTGAGGTCCATAACTGGTGCTTGGCCCTGCGACACCAGCAAGGCATGACCACACTACCGCATCTGCCAGATTCAGTCAGATAAGCCCAACTTGTTCCGAATATCCGGGCATTACTAACTTCTACACTCTACGCTTTCACCTTTACTCTTCGTCAACAATATTTCCCAACATATTAAGCTCCCTAAAATAATACACGAGTGATTGTAAGAATAAAGAGAGTATGAGAGTATAAAGAGAGCAAAAAGAGAGTATAGAGTAAGTGCACTCAGAAGCCTTACCCTTGTCGAGACAGATGAAGCGAGAGTGGGTCACTTCTTGAGGGAATCCCTCTGGTTTGACGACGATTGGTCGGATGACGGTGTCACTGCGGTACAGAAAATGCGTCAGAAGCGAGCGTGATGACAGATAATCTTTTCATTCTTCGCTGTTAGACCATAAATAATTTTCATTGTTATTCCTTTAATTCTCATGTAATTCCAAAAGATGTAAGAATCTTGTCCAGTAAAAGAGGCAATAGGGAACCGAGTAACCCAGTGGTCAGTATCAACAGGCTACGTATTTCACGCCACATGACTAAGTACTGACAATAACGGCTGCGGGCTGACTGCCAACCGGCCCTTCCTAACGCCTATGAACTACATCCGTTGATGGCCCGCCCAACATAGAGCCACCAGGAGCTAAAGTAGCTGTAGCCAATAGCTGACCTGCCCGGCGCGATGGTGTTGCCTTCGTCGCAGTATCCGTCCTGTGCCCTGGCCGTGACTGTGATGTTGACCTCGCCCAGACCCAGGAAGTTGACCGGGAACGACCTGACCTCAGTGCGACCGGCGGCAATGCAGAGACCCATGGCGACCTCTCCGCTAATCTCATACTGGTCAGAGGCACCAACTTCGAGGTAAACCTGGAAAGAGCGGACATGAAGTGAGCGGAACTCTTCATCTGCAGATACGAAAGTACCGAACGAACACCCGGATAATGAAGCACTGTCACAGAGATGGACCGCAAGCTAAGAGGTGAAAGAATATCTTCAGGTAAGGGACAAACAAATGTGCATTGAATGCCATAACCGCTCAGAACGTACATCGCGAGATACGAGACTTAGAGCCACAGGTAGTAGATTATACAGCATACACATGCATCTTCCGAGGGGGTACAAAGCAACAGTCGAAGGTTAGAGACTTTCATCGCTAAGTTTATATGTGAGAAGGGACATAAAGCTTAGACCCAGCTGATTGCCCCACTTAATCAGTTTCCCAAGTGAGATCTAGCCCGTCGCACATTTGCATATCAATCAGGAGGGCCAAATTGACGCAAGCTTACCGAGAGACTGGAGTCGAGGAAGTTGAAGACGCTGACAGACATGCTCAGGATCTCACCACGCTTCATCGAGTACGGCAGAGACACTTCGGTGAAGAACGGCTTGAAGGTGGTGATGCTGGTCTTGTTAGAGATGCCGAATCCGTCCTGCGAGTCATCCAAGGTGAAGTCAAAACTTCCCATCATTGGCAAAAAGAAGTTATTCATAACTTGGTGCACTAGTGTACTGGGCGCAGCGCTACCCCTCAACGTAAGCGTCTTATCAGTTAAGATCCCGAGAATGAGTAAAATAAAACAAGCACACTCGTGTTTAGCTTTGTTGTAATGAACCCTATTAATTATTTGGCAAACCAGGATGACTCATAGAATCGATCTTTATTCTGTGCTTCCTGAGCCACCACTTGGAGGTTGAGCCGGACTAACAGTTCACGTTAACAAGCCTTCACGTAACTATGCCATCCACCTGTCACTGACCTTGCTGTTGGTGCAGATGGCTGATCCATCCACCTGTCACTGACCTTGCTGTTGGTGCAGATGGCTGATCCGACCACCTGTCACTGACCTTGCTGTTGGTGCAGATGGCTGATCCGACCACCTGTCACTGACCTTGCTGTTGGTGCAGATGGCTGATCCGACCACCTGTCACTGACCTTGCTGTTGGTGCAGATGGCTGATCCGACCCAGGAGGTGATGGTGTCTGGCATCTCGGACGTGACAGTCTTCACACCCTCCGCACTGGCAGCGTAGACACGGGGGAGGGCTACTCATACCGCGACGTTACAGGGTAGGTGAAGGACGCCCATATCAGGGCAAGGCACAAGAGAGGATCACACATATATTGACAAGGAGGGCAGACACTGGAGGCAAATTTGTAGAACACATGGTGGAAACATCCACACTAGGAAAAAAGAAGAGCAACACTCATGCCAAAAGAAGATGAGGAAAAATCATAAGAAATCAAGTTAACAATCACTCATACGGACAAAGGTGAGGAACGCTGGTTTGAGACATAGATATGGGAGACATGGAACGGCATTTGAGAACACTAGAAGAAAAGGGTGATGGGCACACATATTACAAACAACACAAACTCAGGTGTAAAGGCACACTGTTACTACGTTGCTGAACATGAACGCGTTCATAGACTGATGCCCATTCGGCATGATAACCCGCGCCCGGCTGGGGGTCCTGGATTTCCACGCCCTGCTGGGGGGGGGGGGGGGTGTTTGAACACCCCCCCTTCTAACTCGGCTCCTGGGCCACGTAGCGATACGCGGAAGGCGGCGTTCGAAAGAGCGTAAAAAATAATGAGGAAATCACTTCGGTCAATTTTTTGGTCAGGTCAAAGGTCAGGTCACCAGAGGTCATTGAAGGCAAAATTTCGCCGATTTCCAGGTCGAATGTCGACAATTTCCAAGAAGCCAACGCATAACTCGGGAACCAATAGAGCTACAGCGCCGCGGAAAAGCGCATTCGATAGCCCTATTAACGCCCTTTCTGAGTAATTTTCTCAGATTTGACCTAACGTCAACGGTTTTGCCTGCAGGGGGCAAAAACTGCAAAAATAGCCGATTTTTTCGGAAACAGTTTTTCTGCAATAACTTTTGACCCAAGCCTTGTACGAGCTTACTTTTACCGGCATCGTGTTCCCCTCGTCAAGACGCATCGAATGAACTATAACTTGACCTTGAAAGGTCAACTTGAAAATTTGACCTCAGGTCAAGGTCATGACCTGACCGGAAAGGGTCATGTTGCATATCAGTCGATCCGTATCGTCGAGCTGAACACATCTAAGGCGTTTTCATCGCTCTAGCATGCCTCTATCAAAAGTTATTTGCGAAAAACTGTTAGATACCATTCGTGACCTAAGATGACCTCAGGGCATAAACAGGGGTCACGGACACCATTTTCATGTTCAGTGTGTCTAAACCACTTGTAATTCAGTGTTTGGGAGTGTTTATAATGTCGTTCGTCCAAAACAGGCGCATTTCAATTTTCTCCCATTGACTTATAATGGGGAGGTCGCAAAATTGACCTGACCTTAGGTCATCGATATCAAAATTCTGAGATATACATTTTGTACATGTTATTGCTCTTAGCAATCGCTGAAAGTTTCAAAGCGATCGGTCACTCGGTGTAGCTATGACAGACATTGAAACTTTTTATGAGGTGAGGTCACTTCAAGTGACCTGGTGACCTGACCTTGAATGACCTTGGTCTGAAATTTTCACAACATGTGTAGAATTGATGTATGATAAGGTGTACCAAAAACGGCGGCGCTCCGCGCCGCCGTTTTTGAGATATTCGCGAAAAACCACAAGGGGGGGTGTTCAAACACCCCCCCCCAGCAGGGCGCGGGATAAGAAACACAAAATTCATCGGAACAAAGTCAGCACTGAGACAAAACAAATAGCAGCGGCTGTCCTAAAGAGGAACAGAGCCTATGGGAAGGCTAGGTGACGACTCTTGGGAGACAACTCTTAGTCGCCCAGAGGTTGGCGCAGCGTTGGTCTTACATCCAGTACACCATGTCGTAACACCTAAGCTGATAAACTCTGTCCCTACATAGTGCATACAGGGTGTTTCACTAAAAGTGTCAAAAAGTAAAAGGTCATAATGCTCATAAGAACAATGTTTTCTAAGGAAATTTGCATATCATTTCATCCGCAATTGTTGGACATTTGAATATATAACAGCGATATCACCGTCACTCAAACCTATTCCACATATCCGCCCCTTCTTTTGATGCACCGTTTCGGCACGTGTCCGGAGGTGCCTCACAGCCCGTTTTCATATTCAGCGTCCAGACTGTCGGCAAAGCCTTGAATTGTGCTCTTCAGCTCCCGAAGTGATGCGACTTGAGTCTTCCTCAGCTCTGCGAGAGCTACTGAGTCAATGACCAAAACCAGAAGTCTAGCGGTGACAGATCGGGGCTTCGCGCTGGCCATGGGGGCGGGCGGTGAGGCAGCTGATTATCTGACCCAGGAACTTCTGGTCCAGCCAGTTCCTGGTGGCTACAGCTGTCACAGTGGTTGTTTTTGATAACTTGTAAGGCCTTGGCTATTTCTGATGTTGAAATTAGCTTCAAAGGCCCTCAAAAAGACCCTGACCTTTTTAACGGTTTCCGCCGAGAGGTGGGGGCGACCCCGCCTTTTTTGGACTGGAACTGGCATCGAAGGAGGCCTTTTAAACCTCTTAAGAAGCCCTTTTAAACTTTTATAATCTGGAACGTAGCGAGGTGAGAGAGTAAAACGTTTCCTGAAAAGTCGGCATACGGTTTCAATGTTTCTGATGGCACCAAATTTAAGTGTAATTCACCCCTCCTGTGGAGATGTAAATAACCTGTTCTTGATCTGTATAGGGAAAAAACGACTAGTACCTAACTTTGGCCTCCTGCCCTCGCTCCGTATGGGTGTAAAATACATCTTAAATGGACAAAGCATAAATGTCCCAAAATTTGGAACAAAGCCACGTGCGCAACCACGTGATTTGCATATTTTATATATCTTTAATAAGCATTTACTTTTTGACACTTTTAGTGAAACACCCTGTAGATCGTACATTTATGAGCTTATGTTCCTGACGATTCTCGGAATATAATTTCTTCCGTGCATCCCTGCCTGCCCTCCATTATGAAACATCGTTTTTAGTGTCGTCATCGTCTTCGACAGGTCCACCACTCACTCTAGCGTCTCGATGCTGAACAGGAAGGCCTCTGGGAAGAAGTCGCGCACCTGATCCTCTTGAGGCGGCGCTCCGCCCCCAGCGGCAGACGCCACATCGGCCGGACTAGCGGCCAAGAACGCCTGCTCTGGTGCGGGCGGAGCAGCGGCAAACGCCACAGATTGCTGCCAAACGTGTGCGCGCGCAACATCAGCGAGGACCGGAGAACACGAACGACTCAACGCCGCGGCTCGGTGGACGACCACGAGGCGATGCGTCAACGAGAGGTCCGGCTAAGCCGGTCGCGCGGAGCCGACAGCCAGAATTGGAATCCTCTCGTATGGCCACAGAGATGACAGCAAGGCCAATGAAGGCAGTGCGAAAGGAGCAACAATTAGGCGCAGTTGCCATTCCGAATTATTTACAAATGTGCAACACTGCTGAATGGAGACTATCTATTTTACATTGAAGAAGAAGACTCATATAAAAGATCCCAGGAATGACAGAGACTTGGCACTTTGCACATTATCAACAAACAATTGCTCTTAAGAAATTTAACAACAAAATTAAACACTACACAACGCCGCAATTTGGACAACAAAGCAGCTCCCACTGGCCCAGAATGGAAGACGACGTGGCTGCGATTGTGGTAAGGTTCGGATGGCGTACAGGAAACTGAACTGGACGTGAAGGTCATCATCAGACGCCGGCGAAAAGAGGGCCGCCAGAGCGGGCAATGAGTAAGTGACAGCGTGCACCCACCACCTTCGGTAGCACGAAGACGAAAAGGGACAAGCTCACGGTATAGTCGGTCAGCGAACGTTGAGCAAGATATTGGAATATGAACTCGCCAGTCTTGCTGTCACGGTTAAAGTTAGAGTTAAGACGGGGTTTAGTATGCAATCATCTATTTACAAAGCAGTATTTCCATACAACCTATAAGCTTGTACTCGGAGAGCTGGACAGACGAGCAACGCCTACACATTGCGAATGTTTACTGAACAGCCGTTCATGAAAATGTCCTGGACAGTTCCTCCGGCGAAACCATGATCCACTGGTGCTGCAAAGTTGCCGACTCCATCATAAAGCTCGGTCTGAGCACGCTGAAGGTAAGGCCTTGTCAGCAATATCAACTCCACGTGGATTGACGTTGATGTGCGCGTAAAACGCCGAATCGCTCGGCGAAACAGGGCAAGCGCGAACGCCCCGTTTCTGTTATAAAGCATCAAGGAGAAGATTGATGTTTATTTTGGTATCAAATTCTGGATGCTCTCAAGTTTCCTGTTCCAAGCCTCAAATCGGTATGATGAAGAGCTATAACTGGCTAGGACCAACGCAAGGGAAATCCTGTAAGACTGGGTGGGCAATAGCAGGTGCATATAATTAGAGCGGTACTGCCGTCACTATTTCAGTCTTTATCGTCAGTCTTCACTTACTCGGAATCTTGAACCAAAAAGAAACTTTTCACGGTATGTCATACATACCTCCGTAACCAACCGACAAAATGTTCAGAGGACATTCTAAGAGCACACACAGCATTCATAAATCAGCGGTACCAAGAAAGTCTTCTGAACCGAACCTTGCCAGACCTAGTGAAATGCATTGCCTGAAGCAATCGACATCTTCTTGAAACCGTATTCGGAACTGTACTTACTAAGGGCCCTTCTGCGCGTATTTTTATTGTCTGTGCTTGTGCTGTGATCTCCTGTCACCTTACCAATTGTTTTTCGTCGGAAATTCTGTATTCAGCTATTTACCTAAAGGTTGCTCTGGCTTTGTGCAGAGGCTGGCGTGTCTCTACACGTTATATTGTTACGGGATCCCATAGACTAGACTATCCTAAAAATTGTGGGTGCTAACGCATTCGAAACACTCTCACTCTCGTCCCAATGTCCCATACAAATTTGCGATTGGATAACCAGAGGACGACCCTTCAATACTTGCGCGGGAGCTTTTTTAGGTTAAGTCCCACTGTGCAAGTCTATGTAATTACATTGCTTGTTGAACTCTTCACTGTGCTACACCATGTTTCGGGATTCACACGAATCGTTCACCATGTCCACCACTCACTC